GCTCTGGGAAGACCCCACCTCCTGACACCCAGACCTCCGTGGGCTTCTCTCCAGGGGGCTGTAGCCACAGAAGCAACAACACAGCTTATCAGAGACCCTGAGTTCCAGCTGGAATGTTCTCAGTCAAGAAACTGCAGGGAAAGTCAGCTGTAAGAAAGGCAGCAATCTTTCTGGTCATGAGGAGACAAGCACTGGGGACAGGGTCTCTGGGGTGCCCATGCCATGGGATCTTGCAGAGCATGCAAACCCCTGCAAACTGCACAAGCCCATCCAGTCTGACTCTTGTGAAGAGTTCAAAGAAGCAGTGAGGCAGGAATCACCTCCTGCTGATCGCAGGCCAGCACGAGGTGGCTCTCAGAACTGAACAGAGCGGGGCCCAGGGATCCCCAAGCACTCCCGAGATTGACGTTGCTCAATGACCTGCCTGCCACGGGTTCTGCAGCAGTAAAGACGCTTAGGGCTGAGGCTTCCTGTGATCCTTTGCAAGTAAACACACCAGAGCATTTCCTTTGCTGTTCCAGACACGCATGGTCCCAAGGAAAGGAAAACTGGGATGGTGGGACACCCCTGAAGGAAGACTGGGGACTCTGGTGGAGACAGGGAGACTCAGGCCTGTGACCCTCACTTTGGCCCTGGCTTCTGCTGCTGGCCCCGGGAGATGGCTCCTGACGCTCTCTAACCAGAAAGAATAGTCAAGAAAGAAGGAAATGGCTGTGGATTAGGCATTCTGCGCATAGCCGCGTAGAAAGTCATCATATTAAGCCTACTCCTGCCTCTAAAGAGACAAAGAAGTAACAAAAATTAATTTCAAGAAAAGCAAGGGCCGCGCGGGCCCACCGCAGTCAGCATGTCTCTCCCAGCCCTCGACAGGGCTGGTGGACTGAGGCTGAGGGGAGGGTGCACGTCCCCTCCCAATGTGGGCCAGGCAGCTGATCAACCATCCCCTACCTGTGGCCACCAAGCAGGAGGGTACCCTATGGGGTGAACCCAGGGGGCCTGCAGAGGACAAGGACCTGCTGCTGCCCTGCCAGCTAAACCAGGCCTCTGTTCGGGTGATTTACAGGAATCCCCCTCTGTAGCAGTAGCAGCAGCAGCAACGGGGAAGAGCCGAGGGCCGGCTGGGGACACTGAGGCTGCAGAGGTGGTGTGCATGTGCTTTCTGAACGGGGTGCTGCCCGATGGGTTTGACGATAAATCAGACCCTGCTTGGGACATGTCTCAGGCTGGCAGGCGTGGCCAGTGGGGCGGGGCTGGCGCTGGGCCTTACCTGCCACAGCTCCAGGCACATGGGCATGCCCGGCTTGGCATCCGCCTCTGGCTTCAGGGTGCACACTGACGTCTTGGATGGCATCTCCAGAATCTGAACCTGACAGTAAGAAAACAAGTTGATTTGGGCCGACGCCAAGACGAGTCTGTGCTATACAAACAAGAGACTTTTAAGGCGATTAGCCAAGGCTTCTGCGAGTTTCTGTCTGCTCTCCTACCTGCAGGGACCTGGGAGCTGAGTCTCCTAATTAGGCTGCACAGACTCGGGGGCTTGGGTGCTCCTGGCCCTTGTGAAATGTTCGCATCATTCCTGAGTGACCAGCTGTCATCAACCAGCAGCCATCTCTGGCCTCTCCCCATTTCACTGTCTGGGCTGAGCAGGAGGCCTGACTTAGCTTGGCTGATCCTCCCTCCTCTGCCTGCTTCTCCTTCTTGGTGTAGGTTTTACACGTGAGCCACTTTGGACGATCTCAGGCGTATCAATAGTACAAAGATGCGCACGGGGTGCCTGGGGACTCAGCACCAGCTTGAGAAATGAACACGATGTGTGCGCGCCAAGAGTAGCTCCATTTGGAACCAGCTCTCCCAGCCTCCATGTGCCTGTGCATCGAGGCTGCGTTCTGTTACCTGAACACAGGCCCACATAGCCCAGGCTTATACACTGCCCATCTGCTGAAGACAGGGGCCAGGCTCTGCCCAGCACCATCCCCAGAGGACGGCTGAGGCCATGAGGAGCAGATTCGGCCCCTGGAGCACGGCAGACCAGAATGTGGCCTCAGCTGTCACATGTCCGAGCATCTGGGCTCCTTCATCCACACAGTGGGGACAGGGTCCCCATCTATGGGGCTTGGAGGAGTAGGGAGTTCCCACATGATGTGCTATAGCACAGGGCTGGCGAGATGCTCCCCTGGACTTGTGTTTGTGCCACCCAATGGTTCTACTAGAATAGGGTCCCTCTGCCACGGCTCTGTATGACTGGGGAGGCTCAGCCAGCCATGAACTTCCTGGGTACTGGTGAGAGCAGCTCTCTATCAACAATGTGGCAATGCTGTGCAGGTGAGAAACACGATGCCCTCACTAGGACCCCAAGTCTGAATTCCAGATCTGCCACGTGTGCTGGGGGCCATGCCAAGGGCAGCCTCTGGGCAAGACAGAGAGCCGGGCATGAAGCCTGGTCCTGTCGGCCAATGCCCACCTCTGACACATGGGCTGGGGTCGTGGTGCTATCTGGGCAGGACGCTGTCACCAGCAACCCCCACAGGGCTCAGCCTCTGAACAGTAGAGCTTATGTCCCTGCTCAGCACCAGGGGACAGTTCACTGTACTCAGTCCCACCTGCTGCAGACGTTAAGTCCTGGAGCCCCTACCCGTGTGCCCGTGCAGACACGCATGCACACGCACATGCATGCACACACAGAAGCTCACCGCCCCCCCCAAGCCCAGAAACAAGGGCACTCAGGGCAAGCCAAGAGCCTGACGGAAGAGGCCTCAGGGGAACAAATTCAGGGACATGATGAAGGGAACAGAAAAGGGAACCTCTTCACAACGGGAGAGGTTGTTACAGTTATGAAATAAGAGGCTGCCGGGAAAAGGAGCCCCGGACAGCAAAAACGCTGCAGAGCCCGGCCACACAGGGATGGTGAGCTGAGGCCTGCAAGCTTGGGGACAGAACGACAGAGCCAAATCCTGCAGCAGCCCAAATGGCAAGTATGAGGGTAAAAAGGAGGAACCTTTGGTCACCAAGGATTCCTTATGAAAAAACTGCTCAAGGAGACGCTCTAGCAAGATGACAAGAAATACAGGAAAGAGGACATCTGAGAAACAAGATGCTGGCCCACGCAACACAGAGAGCCCAAGCGAGGCCGGAGGCTCTGCTCTGAGCAGGAGACTCCCTGACCGGCTTCCTCCCTTTAGAATCAGCTGTGGCCACCGCATGAAAGAGCCACAGGCACAGGGGCCTGTGGTGAGCTGGAGCTGTGACCCCAGACGTGGGAGCAGCAGCAAGTTGTCACCATGGTGCCATGACCCCTTAGCTGTTTCACAGAGTCTGTGGGACTCACATCTGGGCTGTGGAGGGCGGACTGGAGGACACAGACCACACTGAGGGGTGGCTCACTTGATTTCCTACTTTTAGCATTCCTCTAGCCCAGGTTTCTTAAAATGAGATTTGTTCCTTCTGTTGCCATATCAGGAGGACAGGCTGGTTTCGAGAGGTTAACTGGGCTGGAGCAAGCAGACATCACTGGGCCCACGGTCTACAGGGCCAGGCACCCAGCCCACGGGTGGACGAGGGAGGGCTCATCCGATCTGCGGGCTCAGGAAGCCCCTTCAGCTGGCAGTGAGGAGGGGCTCAAGGGCAAGGGGACTCTCGGCAGGCCAGTGAGCTCAGGCAGGAGCGACAGGAGGGGTAGGGGGGGCTGAGGGTGAGAACCAGGACAGCCCTGAGGCCCCAAGCTGGGAGCTGCGGGAGAGCGCACTGGTGGCAGCGCCTCGAACCACACCCTGGGTGCAGGATGTGGGAGCAGGGAGCCAGGCCCAGCAAGCAGAGCAGGCCCAGTGTCCACCTGGCCCAGGCACCAGCCTAGGGCCTCTGTGGGTTTGGAGGAGGAGCTCCCGGCTCTTGCCTGTGCTTGGAGCCTCCTACAGACACTGTTGAGCTTTCTGTCTGGCACCCAACTGCAACTTTGTTTCCAGAAGGAAAAATGTTGGGTTTGGGCAAGTGTGGCCACCCAGACGGCCAAGCGGGGCAGGAGTGCGGCTCCCCGGGCACTGTTTGGGCACAGGCCAGGATGCTTTTCCAGGGCCCAGGCCAGGCAAATTCCAGGTGGGAACGTGAAAAACAACCATTTTCCCAGGATGTGCGGGGTCCCCAGACTGGTTGCTCCTGAAAAACACAGCTGCTGTCTGCACTGGGAGAGCTGGGAGCCAGGAAGTGGGTTAAAAACAGCCTCGAATGTGAGGACGTACGTGACCTCCGAGGAAGGCAGTAGCAGGCTCACTGTGTGCCAGTAGCCGGGGTGGCCGAGGCGGGTGCGCATGTGGATGGCTGGCTGGCAGCACCCACCCTGGGGAGGAGCTGACTCAAACCTCCCGCAGCTTCCTGTGGGTCCACGCTCGGGGAGCCCGCACTGCCTGCCCCTGTCATCCAGGAGGACGCACCTCCCTCTCTCACATTAATAAAACTTCTAACAGCTTCTTGGCAAATTGGCAAGAAAAGTGTATGTAGCTCCTAATTGGTGATTTAAAAGCAATCGTGAACAAATAAATGCCTGTTTCTATCTCATTATTTAAGAACTGGATCTGCTTGAAGACAAACGACTCTCCCTGGGCAGGGGCCAAACAACTGTGTGCACAGGAGCCTTGGTCAGCCAGCGCCATGGCAGGAGCTGCCCTGCCCAGTGCCACCTGCCTGGAGGCTCACAGGGCCAGCAGGGGACAGGGAGGACTCGGGAGTGGCAGCAGAGGGGGGCAGAGGTTCCCTCCCACCCCGTGCGCTCTCTGCCCCCAAGACGCCCATCCCTCCTCCCTCCCCACACCCCAGCCCTGGGGCAACTGTGCTGCACACTCACCAGGCCTTCCTGGTGCCACTCATAGGTTTCTTTCCCAGTTTCCCTTCAGCTTCCCACAAGCTGGGCCTCCAGCCACACCCTCCCCCTCTGGGACACCCTCCTTCTCTGTGCCACCCTCCTCCTCTGCGCCACCCTCGTCCTCTGCGCCACCCTCGTCCTCTGCGACACCCTCCTCCTCTGCGCCACCCTCGTCCTCTGCGACACCCTCCTCCTCTGCGACACCCTCCTCCTCTGCGACACCCTCGTCCTCTGCGATACCTTCCTCCTCTAGGACACCTTTCTCCTCTAGGACACCCTCGTCCTCTACAACACCCTCCTCCCTTGCTTTCAGCACCGCTGCCCCCAACATCCTGGGTACCCCTTCCCTTGGCGGACTCTGCCTCCTCTGTCCCCAGGAGATGTGGACGCCACTGACCAATCCATGTCACCAGCACCTCTGGTCACTGGCCTGGGCTCCATCTGATGGTGACTCTATGCTCACCTCAGGCCCTGTTCTTTGCAGCCCCATCCTTGGGATGTTCCCTGCTCATCTCTTCCCTTGGGACTTGCTGCCCTGGCTCAGAGCCCCACATACTCCCACCCATCACCCAACTTCTCCCATTACTCCTGCTGATCTAGGTCCTCTGAGGACCTGAGCAGTCTCTCCCTCAATCGCTCCTGATGGTCTTGGGCCTTGACACTTGGTCGTCCTGCGCCACACTGTGCTGGGTGCCAAGGCCCTCTGAGACACCGACCCCAACCCGAGTATCCTTCCTGATTCTCACCACTGCCCTAGGAGGATGGCTCACTGCCAGGGCCACCTCACAGGTGACCACATCAAGACCTAGCCCACCACACACCAGCTGGAGGCTGCTGGAGCTGCCACACAGGGTCCTGTGGGTGGACATGGTGCACCTCTTAAACAAGTGTGGAGAATGAGCACACCTGTCAGAGAGAAAATGCGCTCCCAGGAGCTCGTGGAAGAAGGGCCTCAGGCGGGCTGGCTCTCACCTCATCACTGTCCTTCCCCGGCACAGCCAGTGTCCAGCGGGGCTGCCCCCCGGCCAGGATGGCGCTCCTGCAGAAGCCCACACTCTCCAGGCGCACAGAGTCCATGACGGTGTTCCTGCCCTCTGCCAGGTCCCATAGGCACAGCTTCAGGTCCCGGCCCTGACTTCCAAACCAAGAGGAGATAGGCGATGAGAGTCCCCCAATGGGCTCCCCACACACCTCACATCCACCAATAGTGGTGCCCATGGGCCCTAAGGCAGAAGGAAGGCAGGGCCACATTTCCAGAGAGTGGCTGCAGTGAGCGTTGATCATCACAAGGGCTTTTCTATCCCAGTATTTACTCGTGAGCAGGCATCTGAGGCACCTGATACCAGGACACACAGCAGACTGAGGCCTTGGATGCTCCGTAGCACATGCCCATGATCTGCTGCCTGTGGCCTTCCTGCTGCTGCCCATGCCACCAAAGTGCATGCCCTCCCTCCCTCTGTGAATTAGGCTTGACGACCCAGCAATCCCACTCTCAGGTATTTTCCAAGGTGAATTTTAAACCTACATTCACTCAAAAACCTGAACAAGAACGTTGCCACCAGCTCGATTCATAATTGCCCAAACCAGAAACAACCCAGCAGTCCTTCAACAGGAGATGGCCCATCGCACCCTGGAGCTCCACTCAGCAGTAGAGGAGCCAACTGCTGACACGTGCAATGGCCTGGAAGAATTCTAGATGTGTTTTGCTAAGTTAAAGAAGCCAACTACGAAAGGCTACATACTGTACAATTCCACTCGTGACACTGTAGAAAAGGCAAGAATACAGAAATGGAGAACTATGGGAAGGAACTGCTGATGGAGCGGCACATGGGCTTTGGGCCCTGGGGTGACAAGATGCATGACCACATGCATCTGTCAAATCCACAGAACTCAAAGAGTGAACTTTACCATGTGTACTTTAAAAATAAACAGCCAACCAACTAGGATGTCAGGACCACAGGATGACACGTTGCACCCAAGGGGAAGGACAGACAGGAGCCGACCTCAGGAGCTGGGGAAAATGTTTCGACTACACACCGTAAGACTGACGACAAAAACAACTGTGCAGACACAGCACTGCAGTTGGTTTACTCGCGTCTCACGTGGTGTGGGTCAGCAATTCCGAATCCGCCTCACACGCACACCAAGGTGGACGAGAGAAGTAAATCAGTCCCTCACAGGGAGTCATTACAAAGAAGCACAGGAGGCGACATGGGCCTGTGGGGTTGGATTAACATCGAGAGGTCAGTGTGATGCTGTGTAGTCGATATACGCACAGGCAGGCACAGAAATGACTGCAGACAAGGACGGCCGCGCGGGCTGCATCCACACAGCTCTTTCCCAGCGTGGTCCGCTGAGAGCAACAGGAAGCGACGTGCGCGCCAGCACCAGGTCTCGGTCTCTTACCCCATTCTCCAAAAACAGGAGCCACGGTTCTGGAGAAATGGCTGATGCTAGGGCAGGGGTTGGGGGGAAAACAAGATGAGTTCCAAGTATCTCACAGTTCCAAAAAGTAAGGAAATACTTGAAAATTAAATAAAATAGGATGGGGCTTGTCAGGACACAGGCACCAAAGCTGGAATAATCTGAGTGACAAAATAAACAGCAAACAGCAGGAGGATTAGATTTTGGCTGAAAGAATGAAGTACATCTCCATGAGCCATTCTCATGATGAATGCATAAATAAATGGGGGAGAAGGGACAACCCTTCCCTGCACATTCCTTAATTCCAGCTAAAGCAGAATTCTAAAAAAGGAGGAGGAACAAGGGAAATAGAAAATCCCCATGAGAACATCCAGTAACAACCACCACAGGCAGAATCCATCGATGGATGCTGAAATTAGTGGGCAAAACTTTAAGGAGAAACAGGACATTTGCATGGCCCCAAATATCTATTAATTACAGTGCTGGTGTGAACAGAGGCCCACGTGTTCTTGGACCCCCTCCGTCCGGGAGGCGGGGCTTACTTCTCCTCCCATCACGTGTGCGCTGCACCTATGACCCGCTTCAAAGGAAGCCAGTAAGCGAAAGTAGCACCTCGATGGGGAACTCACCTCCCCACCCAGGTGACCCAGGGAAGCCTCACCCATGACCAGCCACGTGGACACCATGGACCCCTGGCACGATGACATAAGAAGGGCACTTTGCCTCTGTGGGTTTCCTCCCCAAACCCCTCACCCCAGTCTAATCCTGAGAAAACATCAGACAAGCCCAGCCTGAGGGGCAGTCTACAAAACACCTGAACAGTGCTCTTCAAACATGTTGCGAAAAACAAGACCAGCGGGAACTAAGGAGACCCAGCAGCTCAATGGATCCTGGAGCAGAAAAGGACATGGTGGAAAAACAGAAGAAACTAAGCGACGTGTGGGGATGAGTTACCAGCACGCACCAACGTTGTGCCAGGTGTGCCAGGTGTGTGAGGGGTCCCTGCCCTAGAGGACTCAGCATGTGAGTCCTCCCCAGGCTGATCTAGAGCAACTCAATCCCAATCCCAATCCCAACCTCTGCTTGGTTTCTGGAGAACCCACCAAGCAAATGTTCAGAATGTGCCTGGACATTTGAAGGACTACAACTCACACGGCCTCATGAGGCTCTGCTAGATGACAGGATGGTACAACACCCGGGCAACATGCTCATGTCAGGGGCACCGAGCTCATGTGGGGTGCACCCACGTGCACTGGCAGAGAGCTGAGGACAGACTTGTTTTTCAAGTAGCTATTATTCTGAACTCACAGGACAGTTGTGAGAACAGCCTCCTGCCCCGGTGCCCGGCCTGTTCACACCAGGCCTCTGAGCCCCTTCCTGCTCACACACACGTGCACTCGCTGCCCCTGCCAACACTCTGCCACCCCTAGGTAAGCCAGCATGCACCTCCTCACGAGACGACGCTGCCTGGTGCTGAGACCCAGCCCGTGTTCCTAAGGGGATGCTCCAGAGGTGAGGCTGTATCCCCCTTGGTGGTCCACCCGGGGGCATGATGCGACCTGCCCACCACTGGGGACATGGACCCTGTCGCCTAGTCCAGATGGTGCCCGTCGGGCCTGTCCCCTGCAACGCCACCATTTGCCCTGTCTGGGTAGTGTTTTGAGGGGGAAGAGATTCTGATGTTACACCAATAATCCAATCCTCCTACAAGCCCTAACTTGGCACACGCTGAGGCCGCCACCCACTCAGCCTCGCCAGGATGGCTGCTGCAGGGTGACCGACGTGCCCCCCTCCTCACAGATGGGCTACATCCTCCTGGAAGGATGGGCTTTCCCTTCCGCCCTGTCCCTCCCTTCTATCAGGCTGGACTCATGCACTCCTACATCGTTCAGTGGGATAGCATCCAAAATTCTCATTTATCTTTCTGCTCAAATCATCCCAAATTGGTCAATGGGAGCCCTGTCAGCCTGACTCAGAGTCCCTGACAGGTGTCCACCAGTGAGGTATTCCAGGCTTAGAACCAACTGTTTCTCCAGGAATCCTCGTTCTTCTCACACAGAGAGACATTTAGAAACCAAGCTCTGGGTGCTGGTGTGCTCACTACGACGGCGCTGCCGCCACCAGCCCCTCTCAGCAGACAGAGCTAGGAGACACCCCACACCTCACACATGTACACACACACATCTTGCACATCACACACACAAAATCACACACACCTCACAGGTACACACACATCATGCATGATATCGCACCCACACACTTCCCACATGTACACAAACACAACACACACCCACTGCACAACCAACCTCACACGCCACACACAAAATCATACCCCACAGCCCCCACATACACACATCCCACAAACACACCACACACCCCTCACATACATACACACACACCACACACAATCACCCCCACAACCACACATACACACACCTCACACACACATGCACAGACATCACACATCAGCACACATTATTTCTGACATATCTTTGTGTAGACATCTTCAAACCCACCAGTTCACACTGAGCCCTCCAGTTGCAGTCCTACCCCTTCCGCTTCTTTCCCGCCTACCCCTTTCCACGTTTGTATCTCTCTTCTCTGGACAGGGACACATGGCTCCTGTTGTCCTCCAGATGTTTACTGAGATGCGCAACCAATGAACTTGTTTGCCTGACGCGGCCAAACTCCCATCCTCTTGGCTCCTCTGCGACACTGCCCCACCTCGTGCTGCTTGTGGGCACACTACCACCCACCCTTCTGCACCCCTCCCTGTCCATGTCCTCAGATGTCACCGTCACAGAGCCTGGAGGGGAAATGAGGGAAGGGAAGACGGGACCATTGGGTATCTCCATGGGAACACAGAGCCTTCCAGATGAACCATGGGCCTAAAAGGAACGGTGGCGCTCGCTGCAGGGACTCTCCACAGGACGCAAAAGCACTCGCTGGAAGGGGAAAGCCTGGCAAATGTGACTCCATTAAAACTAATAACTTCTGTTCAGTAAAGACATTAAGATAGTGAAAAATGCAAGTTGTGTTGGAGAAATGATTTGTGCTATAAAAATATCTAAGGGGCTGGCTGGTTAGCTCAGTTGGTTAGAGTGCAGTGTTGTAGCACCAAGGTCAAGGGTTCAGATCCCTGAACTGGCCAGCTGCCCAAAGGAAAAAAGAAAAACTATCATATCTAGAATATCAAAAAACCCTCCTATACATCAGTAGGAAAAAGGCAGTCAATCCAATAGAGAAATGGACAGAGACCAAAGTGGCATTGAGAGAGGGTTTATCCCAGTGGCCAACAAACATAGAAGAGGGCTCCATCATTAAGTGATCAGAAAACGCAAATTAAGCACTTCGGAGGTGCCTGTGTCCAGTGGGCAGCGAGGGGGTTGGGCACTCCCACTCTGGGGGTGCAGGTGGCCTGGAGTCCTGACAAGTCCTGACAAGTCAAATGTGCACACGCCTGTGGCTCAGACGTCCCAACTCTGGGTATGGGCTGCAGCCTGCAGGCCCTTGTGCACCCAGCACCAGGAGACCCAGACAGGCGAACTCCCAGCAGCTTCGATCCTAACAGCTCCGAGTGGGAAACCCAGATCCCCCCAGACAGCAGCAGGGTAAGACACCTGTGGAGTAGCGCATAGAAAACAACTAACGTAGCTACATGTGACAAGGTGGACCTCACAGAGACGAGGTCGAGTGACAGATGGCAGACGCAAAGGAAGCTATTCCTCACGGCTCTGTTTCTTTTACAGAAAAAGGCAGATGCAACTAGTCTATGCTTTCTAGAGACATATATTCAGATGGTATAGCAAGAGCAAGGCGTGGGGGCTGCCTCCTGGGGTGGGGTGCACATCACCTCCAGGGAAGGCAGGTAGCAGCAGCACAAGGGGCTCGGGGGCCCTGGGGGCCCTGTGCTGGCAGTGCTCCACCTGGGACTGGGAGGTGCTTACTCAGGTGCTCATTCTGCCATGAGACAATAGTCTGTACGCTTGTTCTCGCACTCTTCCATAAGTGTGTTATAGTTCACAACAAAAAAGTTCAAGGAAACACCCTGCTAAGGCGGCTGTTGTGGGCACAGGTGTGTCCTTGGAGTGCATGCAGGGCTGGGGGTGTCCCCTGGCCTCCCCTCGACATGAAAGCGTACCACCCCTTCAAGGGCCACTTGGAGAGACTTGGCTTCCAAACACAGCTGAGTGCAGGCTGAGTGGGGGAGGCTTCCGCAGGCCGCAGTCCCCAGTGCAACGTAAATGCACTTGAGCATCCCACACCTGCAGACCTGCAGCCCTCCTGACCCACAGCCGGCTGTGCCTGGAGAGGGGCTGCTGAAGCGCCACCCTGGCTGGAAAGGGGACACCACCAAACGCTCACCCCCTGGCTGCCCTGTGAGTGCACCTCTTGCACGGGGCCTGGCGCAGCCCCTGCCTGGAGGACACCCTAACGCTGCCTAGACACCCGAGCCCTGGCGAAGCAGGACACCTCGGCTGAACACTCAGGAGTAACATTTACAAACAGCAACTCCCTATGCAGGTGGTATTTAGAAATGTCAACTACTCTGACAATCAGGGAAAGACTGAAACCACATGGAGGACCTCTGCACTGAGAGGGGTGTGGGAATTTGGGCCAGCCTGGCCAGGAAGGAGGTGAGGTCCCACGAGGGCTCTAAAAGCACACAGGTCCAGGGCACTGCCCTCCCGCACAACTCTGGCCCCTCTGTCAGCTGCCAGCCATCTTCCAAGTGGTGGGCATCGTGTGAGTCTGGCACAAAAGTGCTTGGCACGCTGGTGGGGGCCAGGCAGGAATCATCCTCTAGGACTGGACTACACAGCGCCCATGTGTCCCAAGCACTAAGTACAGAGCAGAACAGCCTGTCCTTCCGGAGTTCTGGGCTGTGAAGGTGGAGGCACACAAATGCCCCGAATATGGACGACAGATCCCAAGAGGAAAGCAGCAGGCCACGTGGGAGCACAGGCTGCTCAGGAAAGCAACACTTAGACTTGGTGGGCTCCTGTGCTGGTGGCAGCGATCCCCACACAGGGGCAGGTGTCACTTTGATCAATGACAATGGCCTACCGCAGCGGCCAGGTGCCCTGGAAGAGGGCTTGTTGCCGCTCTCTGCACGCCCTCCCAGTCCCTGTCATGTTTGTCTCTCCTTCTCCCTGTGGGAAGTGGGGAAGACCCTCGCCCATCTGCCCCTCCTGCTGCTTCCCAGTCCACCTTTGGCCTGATGTCCCTGGACCCGATCACCTCCATGAGGCCACAGCAGCAGTTCCAGAACACAGCCCCAGGCCAGCCACCAGGGGCTGCCCCCTCCCTGTTCTGCTGCCCACTGCCACGGGGCCCCTGCAGGTGGCCCAGTCCCCAGCCCCTCATGGCCCTGCGTGACACTCCCTGGCCTCAGCACACGTGGTCTCCTCCACTAGGAGTGCCAGGCCCCCTGGTCACCCCTGCCACCTCCTGCTCAATGCAGCTACCCAGCACCAAGTGTGAGGCGCTCCCAGTGCCCCTCACGGCAGTTCTCTGTGCTGTAGGGGGCGGCCCTGATCAGCCCGGGAGAGCTTTAGTGTTAGGCTCTGCTGCCACCCTGGTGACCAGTCCCGGCCGCCTGCATGGGAAGATGGTGCCGTGGTTACAGAGAAGGTCACCCTGAGGCGTGGCTGTGGTGAGACTGGGACCTGGGGCCACCACAATGGAGGCAGAGGCTCCTCCAAGGAGAGGCCTGGGCTCAGCCACAGAATGACCTCTGGCCAGGGTGGGCTCTGCTGAGGCCACAGGCTGGCACCAGGCTGCGGACACAGCCATCCTCGTACATTCATTAGGCTCTTCTCAGCAGGTACCTGCCCAGGCAGCACCACCATTTTGGGGGATGAGGACATCCCAGTCATGCTGCCTTGGGATGGGCCAAGGGCTCATGGACCCTAAGGGTACCTAGAAAACTGCCCTTATGCTAAGCAGAGGCTGGAACAGTGAGTTCTTGGCACAGACACCAAGATGAGGACAGGCCATCTGTGTGGTCCTTTCTAGCTGGGGGCAGCCTAGATAAATGATACCCAAGTGATTTGTAGGGGACAAAACACACGCACCCACACACGGGCTCAGTGCCTTGGAGGAAGGAGACCAGGATGCCACAGGGGGGACCAGGGCAGGGAGACGCCTCATCACTACACCCACTTCAGAAACACGCTGAAGCACACCGCTGTGTGACAGAGCTACACACAGAGCCACTCACCGCCTACTGGAGCCCCCACCTGAGCCCCACCCAAGCCCTGCCCAAGCCCCACCTGAGCCCCATGCCCACAGCTCAGCTACCACCTCGCCAGCCACATGACCATGCATGGCACAGTGCCAGGGGCTGCTTCCTCTTGGGAACAGTCAGGTGGGTGTCGTAACCTGTTGAAGGGACACTGGCCAGGGCTCCAGGTCCAAGAGTTCCCGGCTCCTAGGGCCTCCAATGGCACTGTGACCTGCTGTGTTCACAGTGCATGGCTCAGGGAAGGACAGGCAGTCAATGAGAGGCTCTCCTTGGCTTCCCCCCTGGGCTTTTGGTCCTGGCGCTTTGTACCATTCCCCTCTGCTCACCCCTGCTCAGCCCCCCAAGCCACAGTCCAGTGCCCTTTATGAAGCCCCAGCCCTCCCCACCATCTCATGCCTGGGCTGGCAGCAGCTACCTCAAATGTCACCAGCCCGGTCCTCCAAGCCTCCTGAAGTGGCACCTCCCGCCTTGCCTCAGAGGAGCAAAGGGCCCCAGCAAAGATGGTGACCATGCAGAGGTCAGATCTGCCCGCCTTCCTGACAATGAGCTGCAGAGGGATGCCAGGCTGGTCCTGCACCTCTGAATGCTGCGAACAAGCTGGCCAAACCCTCCTAACCCTTCAGGTCACCCCTGTCTGCCATTGGGGTGGGGCCACCGCGCGTGCGGGTAGCTGGGTGGGGCCATGAGAACCTCCATCATAGAATTCCTGGCTCCCACCAAAGGCCACAGCCTGGTTCCTCGGAACCTCATTTGCTGCTGCTGGGACCCACCTGAGGAGCTGGTGCCCCTGGGGCAGCGTCTGCAGCCAAGTCACACACTGGCCCCCATGGCCGTCCAGGGTGGCAACGGCTCTCCGTGTCTGCAGGCTCCAGATGTGCACCAGGCCACTCTGAGACCTGTTTCAGACAAGCCAAGTACAGGTGTTGGGAGGCAGTGGATGTTCTCAGCACGCGCCAGGGACTGGCCTGGGGACCACACAGCTGGGGGACGTGGGTGTTTTAGCTGGTGGAGTTTGGTTTAAAAGCCAACAACTCTAAATATAAACTAAGGATAAGATTGGCAAAGTGCTCCTTTCCAGAGAGGGCAGGTGGGGAGGGCCTTGGAAGCTTTGAGGTTAACTCAGGCGGAGTCTGCCTCTCTGGAAGAGAAGGGCCACGCCACTGAGGACACAGCAGGATGGTGTCGATGCTCCTGCGTCTGTAACCAGGAGGGTGCGGATCCCTGCCTCCTCCAAAGGGGGGATGCCTGAGGTGACAGTGTGTCAGGTGGGTCCCCTCTGCCAGCACCCCCAAACAAGCACTGGCCTCCTTGCCAGCCATGACTCCCCAACTTCACTGCCGCGGCCCCAGCCCCCAAGGCTGGCCGCAGCTACTCACCCCGAAAAGAGGAGTGGGCGCCCCTCAGCCTGGGCTCCTCCACAGAAGTGCAGTGCATGCACGGCCGACTGGGTGCCTCGGAGGACAAACTGGGGGTCTGGTGGTGGTGGCGGGATGGTGGCTGCCATGTCAGGCAGGGTGCAGTCACCTGGAGACCGAGGGAGAAGGTGTGTGATGGTGCCCTCCCCTCCCATCCTCCTCTAGGAAGGCAGCCCAGGCACAGCCCTGCCCAGTGCCACGGCCCTCCACCCCTCCTGGGGGAAGGGGGACACACCCTCCCCTCCATTCCCTGACAGTTGCTGAATGGCCCTGAGGCTGCAGAGGAGCTGCTCCCTGCCGGCAGCAGGAGCCCTGCTGAGAGCACAGAGCTCGCCCTTTCCACACTGTGGCCTCTTCTGGTTGCTGCTCTGGCCCTTGGGAATCTGGGAGCCCTCCCTGGATGCCACTCGTCCCCAACCTTGCCTTTAGGTCTCTGCAGCAGACAGGTGTACCACCCTGGTCCCAACCCGCACCAGCCCCAGGAGGAGGTGGAGGCCGTTGCAGAAGAAGCCACAAGCGAAGGCCACAGTACATGGGCAGGAGCAGGGGCAGGAGAGGCATGGGTTTCTCAAGAGGGTGGCACATCCAGGGCACCCCCTTCACCCGCACCCTCCACGGGCAAGCCCTGTCATCTCCCCTTCTAAATCCACCCCACACTCTCCTCTCTCTTCAGAAGAGAAGCAGGCGCAGCTTGACTGGAACAAAAGGCTCATAGCGCCTAAGAAATGCTTCTATCGAGGTGGCTGGGGCCTCGCAAGCCAGTCAGCCCTGGGTCACCCAGAGCTCAGAGGGCAGGCAGCAGCCAGAGCCAGGCTCCGAGAAGACCCCCGGGGCCTGAGCAGAGCGGACTGGGGAGGGTGGGAGGCATGGGTGAGGCCGGCGAGGCCTGCACCCACACAAGGGCGGTGGGAACAGGGCTGGGGCTAGGCCTGGGCTGGGGCTCACCATTCCTGGCGAGAGACCACAGGCGGCCACTCTTACCATTCAATCCTGACTCTCAAAGACAATGAGGAAATCCCCGGAAATGCACTTTCCAAACTGCCAAGTTCCCATTTTTTCTTTTTTTTTGGGGGGGAGGGGGCTGGGGGAGTGTTTCAGACTAAGAGCCTCTCTCACCTTTGACTAAAAGGCTGACCCTTCCCAGACACAAGAGTGGCCTCCTGTAAGAGGCAAAGAGACCTGACCCCAGGACCCATGGGCTCCCAGGACCTAGGGGGCCCCTATTCTGGCCTGTGACAGGTAAGCTGCCAGGCCAGAGCCCCAAATGCTGGAATAGCAGCCCAGGGCAGGCTGGCTTGGCAGACAGGTTCAGAGGAGCAGCTGTTGGGTCCTCAGAAGCCACCACCTACCTGTGCTGTGCCTGCCAGGTAAGAACGGCAGGTTGGTGATGGGCACAGGGCTGCAAGGCCCCAGCTCCATGAGAAGCCCAAGAACGTAGACCCGGATAAAGCAGAAAAGCACCGAGTCCAGGATGGGGGGGCCTCTCCTGCCACAGCCATCTAGGCAGCAGAGGCTAACAGGCCACCTCTTCACAGGCTCCCACGTACAGTACACAGACACAGACACATGGTGTACTCATGTGTGCACACACACAGGCACACATATGGACACACAGCATGCATACATGCACATGTGCAGAACTCACGCATAGGACACGTACACACACATATACACACACATAAACATGCACAGCTATGCATGCATATGCACGCATGAACATACACACACACACTCATACATGCATATACACAAATGCACACACTCACAAATGCGTACAGGCATACACACTCATATGCATACACACACATATGTGTTTGCACATACTCATGCACATACAGATGCATACATGAACACACACATGCATACACATATGCACACTCATGCTGTAGACATGTGTGCACTTGTGTACACTCACATGCACACACATAAACACTCAACGGCACACTCACACACTCACAGGGAGCCCAGCGGCCATGGGCAGAGCCAGCCAAAGCCTGGCCCACACTTGCAACCTGCCTGCAGCCTGGCAGGAGTTTCCAGAACCTCACCAGAAGAAGGCTCATTCTGAGATGATGAAATCAAGTTCTCCTGTATTGTTTCCCCAGAACTGCAGGGAACAAACCCGTCACGTTACAACAACCAAAACGTTCAGGCCAAAACGTTGCGTCGGCAATTAAGGGCCCCATCATTTCAAGCAATTAAAATAAAAGCTTTATTTGAAAACTAATTAATTCTAGCTACATATTTTTCCCATGACAATATCCTAGGAGTACTTGATTTATGACATCTAATTATTCTTTATTAATCTAATTGAGAATTACTGCCCTCTCCTATCTCCCCCGGCCCGGCGCCCGCAGCCCTTGCGCAAGGCCACTGCGTGGTACCAGCCTGGCGCTGCCCGGCGCCATTCTTGCCCTTGTCTCTTCCTCCTGGAGGGCAGAGGAACAGGAAACCTGATCCACAGAGCACAACTTTGGATTCCATTTGCTCTTTGAGATGGAAAAGAGAGGCGCATTCTTTTAAAAATTAAAAAGAAAGACAAGCTGACAAAATGTGCATGGCTCTGACAGCTTTTCCGATGGGTGCTACAAACACCCCTGAAAGTCCCACAGGCCGTCAGCCCTGCGCACAAATGGTCAAGGACAGCATCTCCCGCAATGCACCACAGCAGCAGCAGGTCAGCAGGCCTCGTTACCCCCACAAAGATGGGACCTGAGCCATCCTCTGGGCACGGAGACCAGTGGGCAGGCAGGGCCCAGGCAGCAAGGCACACCTGGTGCTCACTGCCAGGATCCAAGGATGCCCTTAGGAGGGGGCAGGAGCAGGAACGAAGACGCCCAGCTGATGCAGACCTGCCACGGCCCTCCAGGGCTGCATCAGTGCAGATGCACCCATGCAATTCGAGGCAGGTGAGACAGGGCCAGGGAAATGGCTGGGGCCCCCAAACCACGGGTCCCTCTCCAAGATGTTCTCAGACAACTAGGTGTTCATGCCTCTGTGTGCACCCCGCAGCCTGACACAAAGACAGGCCACAGGTAAGCCCTGGGCACCCGCCTGCCCTCGGGGCTGCACAGCCTGCACCCACTCAGTGAGAACTTTCCTTTACTACAGCCGGACCACTGCTTACTGAAGAAGTCTGGAAATCAGCAGAGAGCATGAGAAGAGAGCCAAAGCAGGGGAGCCACCACTCAGGATGCCCCAGCACTGCCCCTGCCTGCCCCAGCCCACGGGTCCTGCCTGAGGGCATGTGACAACACAAAGAGGAGCCACGCAGGCTGCCAGGAGTGCCTCAAAGTGGACCCCTTGGCCTCCCTGGTACCCTGCCTGTGTGTCAGACAAGAGCACAGAACCAGCTCCAGAGCCCCACGAGCCAGCTGAACATCCCGTAACCAGCACAGACCGGGCAGGCGCCACTTTCCAGCAGGATGGATGCCCTGATGGGCCCTCCCACCAAAACAAAGGAAAATGTTGATAAAATAATTTTTTTTTTTTTAAAGATGACCAGTAAGGAGATCTCAACCCTTGGCTTGGTGTTGTCAGCACCACACCCAGCCAATGAGCAAACCGGCCATCTCTATATAGGATCCGAACCCGTGACCTTGGTGTTATCAGCACCACACTCTCCCGAGTGAGCCACGGGCCGGCCCTAAAATAAAAATTTCAAAAACTTGAGATCTTTCATGCATCACTAATGCTGGCACGAACCCGTGACCTTGGTGTTATCAGCACCGCACTCTCCCGAGTGAGCCACGGGCCGGCCCTAAAATAAAAATTTCAAAAACTTGAGATCTTTCATGCATCACTAATGCTGGCAAAAAAAGTCTGGAAACTTCAAAGGCCAAACATGAAGTAAAAGTCCAGCCTGGTGAGGCCTGTGAAGCCTGCAGCTGGCGCCTGCCCTGAGGGCATGTGCTCCATTAGAGACCTGGAATTCCAGTTCTGATGGCCTCTGGGGTGACGAAAGGTGAGGCTTAGGGCCCTCCCAAGGTGGCTAATCCCATAGGAGAACCCCAATAAAGGTGGGGCCCCACAGGGTATGTGCCCAGTGTTAGGCTGAACCAGAACTAAACCTGCACCCACAGGTCCCAGAAAAATGCCAGCCCTCAGGTGTCAGCCCTAATTCATACCACCTTAGGAGATCCCCAAGACATCAGTCTGTCTTCTCACAAGGAACCCACCTTCATCCCATGTAAATGAATTCACAGAAAAAGTCCTAAGAAAACACAGACTCGTGGTCACAAATCACAAAAAAAATAAGGAATCATGGCACCATGAGTGAGAGCCACCAGAAACAACAGGATGCAGAACTAGACCCACGGGGCAAAGCATTCATGTATATAAAATAAGGATGCTCAGTGTTTTTAAAGAAATAAAAAGGGGAACCTAAACTACAAGTAGAAGAGCAAGAGACTAAAAATCACCACACAGATTCAAAAAAGGATCCAACCTGGTGAAAGGCTGCTGGGAAACAGGAGATCTGCACTGTGCCAAGGTATCAGTCTCCTGATTATTTACAAACCACAAAAGGAAAATGTACCTTTACAATGAAGACATCTGGCTGTCACCACCTTCACCAAGTGATCAAAGCTGGCACCGCCAATAATAAACAAACTGGCATCACTTATCTCCTGATGTGATGTAATCAGAAGACATGGCAACATCCTCATGTATCCGTGCCAACAACGTCAACATGAGTCCAGCCATGAGGAAACAATCAGACACATCCAGATCACAAAGGGACACTGAACAAGTAACCAGCTTGGACTCGTCAAAAGGTCAATGTCGAGAGAAACAAGAGCAAAAAGCAGGGTGACTCTTCTATATTAAAAGAGACTAAATGCAACATGTGAACCCAGATCTTGGGTTTAAAAGGGGGGAGGTATGAGGAACATTTCTGGGACACTGGGGGAAATCTGAGTATGGACTGCAGACAACATGGAATTAATTTTCTTGGGAAGGCTAAGGTTATTTTATGTAGAAGAATGTCCTTATTCCTAGGAGATATACCAGTATGCCGAAGTATTTAGTGGTGAAACGTTATAATGTTTGCAAACTGTTTTCAGAAATTTCACAAAAAAATTCTTTTAATCCCTCTCTATCTATCTA